CCCTCTAAACTTGTTTATCTTACCAGCACCTTCCATCTAAGTCTCCCAAGCCAGAAAAATACTTCCATCCTGTCTCTACTCTCCACCAATATTCATACTCAAGTCATATTCCTTCCATAATATTTCTGGAATCCCTTCACTTCTCTTCATCCTTACATCCTCTTCAGCCTCTTAACTGGCCTTTCTACCTATGAGTCATTTTCTATTCTGGAACCCACAATCCTGCTTAAAAACTGGTTCCCTAGTTGAGAACAAAAACCAGGACTTCTTTGTAAGGTATATAAAGCCTTCCGTAACTTGGACCTTACCTCCCTATAGCACTGTATCTGAATGCCTCCTCAACCCTAAACTAGCCATTTTTCTACCATCCAAACTCAGGATGCTTTCTTTGACCTTGTTCTCCATCTTTGTCTATGCAGTGGTTTTTACACTGCATTTCCCCTAACTCCTATTTAACCTTCAACTTTCAGCTCAGGTACATACTCCTAGTTCAAGAAGACTTCTCTGACACATCCGTCTACCCCCTCCCTCTCCATCCCCTGCAGATTAGTTTCTGCTCTACAGTGCTTATCAAACTAGATTGCAATTGCCTGTTTATCTGAACTCTTTCTTGTATCCGCAATATATGGCACACAACAGGCTAAGTAAATGTTTAATGAACGAATGAACACATTCCTAGCCATATTTCAGGGCCAACTCGATCTTTAAAAACCTGTTGCCATCACGTCGATTCTGACTCATGGCAACCCCGTACGTTCAGAGTAGAACTGCTGCATAGGGTTTTCTTGGCTGTAATCTTTATGAAAGCAGATTGCCAGGTCTTTCTTCCCTGGAACTGCTGGTTGGATTTGAACTGCCAACCTTTCGGTTAGTAATTGAGCACAAACACCTTACACCACCCAGGGACCTTTAGTAACACTAAAATCACCTGTAAAGCTTAGAGAATGTGACCTCTGCAAGGCTATTGGTAGAAGATCCTGAGCTCCTTGTCTTTAAATATTGCCTCATCTGGTCATTCTGCCTCCTTCCCCTGAGAGATCAATGTGAACCAAAGAAGGGGTTCTTTACTTGAAGACAGTAGGAAGGAAAGCCTGAGGGTAGGGTAGCCACACATTATGAGCTTTGGAAGGGAGGACCCATGAAAGGGCTGGAATGTTTCCCACAGGGCAAAAGCTTTATGAACTTCAAGAAACAAGCTCTACATTTTGATGATAATCTCCCATAAGGGATTCACCTAAGGTGAATACATTCCAAGAATTTTTCTACCTCATTTTAGGACTACAGTGTAAATTGTTCTCACATATCTAATTGCTAAAGTTGAGCAAACACTTGAAATTAAAGGTTTAACATTTCTTTGGGACTACAGAGGTTCCTGACAAGTGGGGCAATTTTAATTTTGCTGAGTCATAATTTTGAATCATGAGTGTGGTAGGCCTCTCAGGATCTACATCCCAACTCACATCATGGTGGCCCATTAATGGACTCAAGCAGAGATTATGAAACTCTTTCAGCTACATTTGACGGCCCCAAACGGAGGAAATTAAGTGCCACAGTGGTATTCAAGATTGCAGGATGCCTCTCTCACAAGCACCAGGGGTCTATGGTCGTGGTTTTTAGCTTGCCAGAAAAAAACTGCTGAAACTTACCATCAAGTCCAGCACCGAGACTGAGGCAAATGACTTAAACAGGTAAGTGGCCTTCCCAAGAACCAGGCTAGGAAAATAATCCCTGACAACATAGCTCATTTTTGTGGACATGGGGACCCTGAGAAATCAAGGAGCCTGGAGGCTGAACTTCCTTTAGGTGGACTCCCAAAACACGGTACTAATCACACTAATAAAAACCAAACCCGTTGCTGTCGAGTAGATTGACTCATGGTGACCCCAACCCCATGTGTTACAGAGTAGAACTGCTCCATATGGTTTTCTTGGCTGTAATCTTTACGGAAGCAGATGGACAGGCCTTTCTTCCAAAGCACCGCTGGGTGGGTTCAAACCACCAAACTTTAGGTTAGTAATTGAGCACAAACTGTTTGTGCCACCCAGGGGCCCTAATAAACCTCTGGAAATAGAAACATGCCTTTCAGCATCATGTGATATAACCTGAGAGGGAACTTAACTATCAGCTGCCTTCCAACTCAAAGAATTTATCCCAGGGCACAGGGTTGCAGAGGTCACAAACTCTGGGGTTAAACAAACCCAGCTTTAAATTCCAACACTGAGACTAACCAATCAGCTGTAAGACCTTGAGGGAATTTGCTTATATTATTTTCTTTGAGCTGCTTTCATCTTCAAAATGACTGTAACATTTACCTTTTAAAATTGTTGAAGCGTGACCCTACCTCAGCAGCCTGTACAGAGAAGCAGATGCTCAGTAAACGTGAGGGCCCTCCTACAGGGCAGAAGTGTGCTTGCTCTGATCTGCAGGCTCTCTAGCCCCTTGGTTACTTTGCCCATCTCCTCCCTCAACTTGAACCTCAGAGAACACATACACAAGCGCTTTTACTGTCGTTACTTCTCTCAAAGGTCTTCAAATAAAAACTCAACTGCTTATGCTTCAAAAAACAGAATTTGAACCCCTAGATGAAACATCTAAGAATCAGAATTTAAACTAGGCGAGAGAAGTTAAATTCATCCAGAGAACTTTTTGAGATGAAACAGGCTAAGTGTCAAAAATACTAGCTGCTCTTCCCCTATATCAAGGTGGGGCACTGATTACGTTACATTGAAGGGGCAGGGAGTGTTAACACTATTCTGCTCATAGGCTTTCCAGAATGGTGTTGAACAGTTAAACATCTGGAAGCCTGTGCCGTTTTTCTTTGAAGTCTACCTCTCTTTTCAATTTTTCATGGAGAACAAGGCTCCCAGACTCCCAAACAAATCACCACTGGACCAGACACCACACCTCCCCCAACCAACAGCAGGCATAGAAGTGAATCAGACAAACAATGGGACTTTTTAAAAATTATTTAATTTAGTAGTTTTCTTGGAAAAAAGGCAATAAGGCAAAAAAACCAAAAATATATATAGTTTTGTTTTGTTTCCATGTGACTTTATTCCACCTGAAGGACTCGAAGCTTCTTCCATTAGCAGAATCTGATTAGGGATCAAGCCAGAAACGTAGTGTGGATGGTGTAGGAAGAAAAGTGGGATAAAGCAGGGAAATTCAACTTAGTCGGCCAATTCCTACTCTGTCTAAAGCTCCTGACTGGGTCCCTGCTTTTATAGGCCTCCCTGAAAGCAGCCCTGGCACCACCCCCTTCCTTGTGTCGGGAATCTGGTTTTTCCAAGGAAGTTCCCCAGCATTTGCTCCTCTCTCAGGTTTCTCACAGCTAGGGAGGGAGGGATGGTGAGGAAGGAATAAGAGAACTAATGTCCCCGGATTAAACCTAATTTCCCTGGAGGAATGGCTTCCTCTGGAATGATAGTTCCCCCAGGACCCACACTGGCTGAGGCGCAGCAGTTAAGGAACAGAAACAAAAAACTCTAACAAGATACATACAAGGAAGGCACCTCAATCTGTGATCCTCAACCAAGGGCGGGTGGCACAGGGGTCAGAGTTTTGAAAAAGACAACTGACACGGATACAGAACAAAAAATGGAAGAAGCAAGGGCTCAACAGAAGCAGCTCTCTTAACCACCCTGCAACCTGGGGAAGGCTCTTTGGGGATCTATCCTGTGGGCTGTGATTTGGACAGACGCAGCGTTCAACTGGAAATTACCCAGCTGACCTTCTACCATACTCTTCCTAACAAAAGAAGGGAAAGAGACAAGAAAGAGGTAAGGATTTCATTTTCAAGAGTTGGGTAATTAGGAGAGCAGAGTTTAGACAGCAGTGGGCACCTCATGATACAAACCATGGACAACGTCCCTGTTGAGTAACTGCCAGCTGTGATCCTGCTCAGGTCTGAATCTGACCCCAAAAGTTAGAAAGAGAGGAGCTCCAATCCACATCACTACATGTCCAACACAGAGTCCCAGAGAGACAAGTAATATCAAAAAACAAGATTCTTAATGGGAGAGAGGAAAATCAAACCAAAAAATTAGATTTTTCTCTACATATATATAATATACAAATATTTAACACATTATTCCATAGGTATCTCCAGTCCACGGGGCTTGAGAGATGGTGACAACTTTTATTCCAGGTTAACGCCTTCTCTCAAATTCTGAAGTACATCAGAATGCGACAGGCAATGTTTGCTCCACACTGGGGCACAGACTCAAACTGGTATTGCGCCAGGAGAAAGAAGAGAAGCTAGGAAGGCAACGAAGGATGGGGGTGAGGAAGAACTGGGAAAGCAGAAGTGGCTAGCAGTCTTTATCCATCCTGCTTCGTGTTCTCAAAAGTTCTCTGACTGAGGAAGTCCGTAAAACCTCGTTATGAGGATAGTGCAACCCTCCGACAAACCACCCAAGTGGCCTTCAGTTGCTGTCAAAGATGGAGAACAGCAGAAGGGTGTTTTAAGATAGAAACTTCCAAGAATGTAACTCTGAATATTCCAATCCTACAGGAAAATCTCTCTCGCAGGTATTCCAATACCACAGGTATCTATGCATGGACACCCCATTACCTCTGCCCCATTTGGGAACACATTTCATAACGTTATACCTAAGCTCCACCGCAACCACTCACGATGCCTCTGTTTGTAAGTCTTATGTGTTTCTTTTTAAAGGAACTTCTAAAATCAGCTCTTGCTCTGAACAGCACCAAAATGCCCCTGAATCATAATCTTACGTAGATTCTGGCTGAACAGGATACTACCAGGGGAGGGAGGGTGGCATCCTCTTAAATGGGGGCACAGGGAGAAGGAAGAGCCAAGAATCCTTGACTTTGCAGATGTGAAATAACACTAGTTTTCAGCCACTAAACCTCTCCCTTATACACATCGGTATCTAGTATATCGATTTCAGTTTCAATCAGCTAAGGCAACCAGCCAATCACCACCACTGGCGTCTGCTTCTGGTGATTGATTTGGAAAAAAATGATTGGTTAAGACAGACAAACTTGAGGAAAGCACTCGGTAAGAAAGTCACAACTGCCAGCTTTCCCGTACATCCTCTGTCCTCTTCTCCTTTGGATCCTCCTTCGATTTGCTACTGCCATCTCAGAAAATGTCTGGGCATGTGCTCCAGTCCTGTTTTTCTTTACATTCCCAGTATCCTCCTCTATAAATATGGGTTAACTCCTTGGTAACAGGATCCTTCTTCTGCTCAAACCACAGTGCCTTATAGGGATCATAGGGTGTGCCTAAAAGAGAGGGGAAGGAAAACAGAATTAGAGCTGAAAACACACTGGCATTCTCCACGCATCAACAAACAGAGTAGAAGGCAGATCCGTTACCGTCCTCTGTGGCTTTCATAGCTTCAGCTTCTCTCTTCCTTCTGGCAAGTCTTTGTTTTTCCTCTAGGCGCTGCTTCTCAGCATTTGCTTCATCCCAGCGCCCATTTTCCATCAGTCTCTGGTCAGGCCGTAACCGGCTGTCTGTCGGGGCAGTGCCACCTTCCCAGGCATTGAGAGTTAGAGCAAGCTCTGAGAAGTAGTACATGTTTTCTGCATTCTTCCTGAAAGTGGAGGATGAGAAAAAGAAAGGGTAATGCTGGAGCCCAGGCCCCAGTCAAGGAACTACAACTAAGTACACTGCCAAAAGACCTCACCACCAAGGCTGTCCGACAAACGGGAAGAACCTAGGATCCTGTCAGGTACTCATAATTAAGGATGCTCTCGATCCCCTCCCCAACATCCCTCCATTTGATAGTGTTCTGGGCTTGTGGTACACTCAGCTGAAATTATCTACACTCATTAGGAAGAATGAGACATTCTGCTAAATGAAAATTCTTTGTTTTCTTTCCCTGTTAGCCTCTTTCTGACATAATTACTAAAGACTGACTGGTATTAGATGATAACAGGAGACAAATGGCCTCTGACTCAAACTGTTTCCTTGTTGTCTCAGGGACCTCTATACCGTGACTGGGCCTTGGAGGGAAACTGTTAACAGGTGATAGGCACCTTCATCCTCTAGCCGCTTCTGAAGAGTTTTGTTCCCAACTGTAGAAAAATATCCTTCTGAACACATTCCTAGGGACCTTTAAAGAAAGCACCAAATAATTTTTTGGTAAATGTGGTTTGATTAGTTTGAACTTCCTTGAGACAAGGCATGTTAGAACTAAAATGACACAGTAACAACCTTCTGGGAATCTTTCCAAAAGTTCCAGTTTTCCTTGCTCAATCCATTAGATAACTAAGTGGGAAGGAAGGCAAAAATGCCATCACTACTGCTCCAAGGTCAAGGCTGAAGTAGGATCTGGGCAGCATGCACACTGGTACTCACGGTAAAGGGTTCCTCTTCCACAGCATGACCCTGCTTTCCTCTGCTTCATGACCTCTCTGACGAGCATCACCCCCGTTGTCCCCACTGGCTAGTTGTACTTTAAAACATTCCATTTTTTCATCCCATGTCCCCAGAAGAGCAAAGTGAACTCTTCCTGATGGATCTGCCACTTCCCCTGTCACCTACAAGGATGGAGAGCAGGGCTTTGGAGTACAGCATTCACTGTGGGTTAGCTTACCTGACTATTCCAGAAGCCAAAGTCCTAGGGCAAATACTGGTTAAATCCTGTTTGAGAGACACCACGGGGCCATCCAAATTATTTTGCTGGAATTTCTTGTACTGCTTGAAACAACTGAGCCATGAGTTGAAGGTTTCATTATCATCTTGTTATAGAGGAATTTTTATTGCAATAATGTATGTAGGAGAAGTGTCTGATTGGTACTCAGAATTATATTTTCCTCTCTTCATATTATCAGAGAACCACAAACAGATTTAACTCCCCAGCTATTCTTCACTCCCGCATAGAAACTCATTGCACAATTTCACTGCAGTGATAACACACAACCCTCCTTCAAACTCCCCTGGGGTCAAACTGCCCACATCTTCTTCCTGCAGTTAGTCCTTCCTCTGTGTTTACCAGTTTGACTCTCTCGTGGGTTTTAACTTTTACTTCCTCACTTATCATCTTCACCAAAAAGAGGATTTGTTTAATAATGCAATTACTATAGTTCCCTTTCTTGCTGACTTTCTCTTTTGCCTCTACTTTTCTGAATCACCATGTTTAGGATATATATACACCTTTTCCTCACTTATCAATATGGTTAGGTTCCAAACACCAGGTCATTATGCAAAAATTGGCATTATGTGAAAATGGAGGATGACAATGATCGGATCACAAAAAGGAGGATGACTACATCATTACATAACTGCCAAATTACATCATTAGATAGCTGCCAAACCACTGAGAATCATGGCCCAGCCAAGCTGACATGTAACCTTAACCATCCAGCCAGCATTACTCTTGCCTCACACCTCGGCATCTGTTATTGCCAGATGTACATCATTAATGCACAAAATGGCTGGATAGTAGGTTCTTTACTACTCTTGTAAATGTTGATAAGTGAGGAGAGGGTGTATATATAAAATTTGGTATATAAAATATATATATATCAGCCCAAAAGGAATAGGCTTTCTAAGGGACACACATTAATAAGAGCGAAAGAAAAAAAAAAAAAACGCAATTCCAGCTTCCCTTACCTTTCTTGCTACATCCCGAGAGAAGTAGCTATAGGGAACAAATTTAAGATTGCACTTGTCTCCTGTCTTGTGATTCACAATATCGATTTCACCAGACTGTAAAATGAAAAGAATCATTTTATTAAGACTGGATGACTTAACTATCTACCAAACCCCACACGTCATTAATTCTTTACTTCTCCATCTTACATTCCAGTGTTCCCTTGCCTTAAGATTCAAGTCTTAGTCAACCATGGAGACGTGGAATCCCTTTGTAACCTTGCTATTACAGGTTGGGATCAAGACCAAATGATCATTTTTTTTAATTGTGTGCTACATTTTAGGTGTGACCTTTAGCACGTACACTGAAATTCACAAAATAATTGACCTTTCCAAACCAATCCCCTGCTAGCACCCTTCAGGAACCCTGTTAAAGTTCTCTACAAACAATTTCAGCCTTTCATGAGGCGAGCCTTTCTATGCTTTATTCATTTCCCCTCCTTCCTAATGTTCAAATCCCAACCTACTTTTTAAGACTCAGCTCAATTCTCTCGTCTACTATGAAGCCTTTCCCGACTCCTCAGAAGACAGTTTTCCCTTACTTCTTTGAATTTATGGCATCAGGATTGGAAGATGACTCATTAACAACCTGTGATACACAGATGACACAACCTTGCTTGCTGAAAGTGAGGACTTGAAGCACTTACCGATGAAGATCAAAGACTACAGCCTTCAGTATGGATTATACCTCAACATAAGAAAACAAAAATCCACACAACTGGACCAGTAAGCAACATCATGATAAACAGAGAAAATACTGAAGTTGTCAAGGACTTCATTTTACTTGGGGCAACAGTCAACGCCCATGGAAGCAGTAGTCAGAAAACCAAATGACGTATTGCACTGGGCAAATCTGCTGCAAAAGACCTCTTTGAAGTCTTAAAAAGCAAAGATGTCACCTTGAAGACTAAGGTGACCCTGAACCAAGCCATGGTATTTTCAATCATCTCATATGCATGTGAAAAGTAGACAATGAATAAGAAAGACTGAAGAATTGATGCCTTTGAAATTATGGTGTTGGCAAAGAACACTGAATATATCATGGACTGCCAGAAGAACAAACAAATCCGTCTTGGAAGCAGCACAGCCAGAATGCTCCTTAGAAGCAAGGATGGTGAGACTTCGTCCCACATACTTTGGACATGTTATCAGGAGGGACCAGTCCCTGGAGAAGGACACTATGCTCGCAGAGGGTCAATGGAAAAGAGGAAGACCCTCAATGAGATGGACTGACACAATGGCTGAAAGGATAGGCTCAAGCATAGCAACAATTGTGAGGATGGTGCAGGACCAGGCAGTGTTTCATTCTGCTGTAAACAGGGTCGCTATGAGTCAGAATCAACTCAATGGCACCGAACAACACTGTCTTAAGAGAAAACCGGCAATTAATAAAATATTATCTTAGGACATCTTACACTAGCCAGGCAATAAACGTTTGATGAATAATGAAAAGATGAAGGGTGGGGTCCATGATTATTATTTTCTTAAATCTTCCACAGTGCCCAACACAGTTCTATAGTTATTGAATGAATGTTCTAATTTGGTCATTTATAAATGGTAATAATACGTCATTACTGTGATATAGAAACTAGGCAGGTGGTTGGATGGAGGAGGGGGAGGGATACTGCCTGAGAGAAATTCCCTAGAAGAAACTTATGAACCAGTAACAACATTCTGGGGCCCAGTTCACATGTCCTAGGTACTGCAAGGATGTACCTAAGGAGGTATTTTTCTCAACTTCAGAAGCACTGTGGACAATTTTACTCACCTGATCTATCCACAACTTGCCAACAATAATGTTGTGCACTGTCGTGGTAACTTTTTTCCAAGTATAGTGGTGCCCAGTTGCATGGAAAATACAGTGAATGGTACCTGGAAGCAGAGAGGTACAGAAATTAAGCCAAATATGAGAAAAACAGCAGCATGCTAGCTAGATATAACAAGGGATTGGTTTTCTCCTATTGGTAATTCTTAGTTAACAGAAGAAAACGTATTCAAAAGGATTTTAAACTTCTTAAATGTTGGAACCATTGATCAAAATGTTTTTTCACTTAACTATGAATAAAATATAACTT